ACACACAGTATGTGGTTATGTTAGTTTGTGTTGGTACAGTATTATCATGATTTCAATTGTAAAAAATCCTGTTACAGAACTTACCGACTGTTGCGGTGACATAATATGTGGCTATGTTAGTTTGTATCGATTTCGATCATGATTTACTATAAAAAAATTTTATCCGGGGCTTATTATGATTTGTCTGCCCAATAAATTTATTATTCGGCAGAAACTACATAGTTGCCGAATAATAAAATTGTTATCAGGCAGTGCCTGCCTGGTAACTATTAATTATTACGGAACTTACATTCTATTGGGTGACACACAGTATGTGGTTATGCTAGTTTGTATAGATATTGTTGTATCTTACTGTAAAAAAAACTCTGTTACAGAACTTACTCGCTATTGCGATGATACACAGTATGTGGTTAAGTTATGGGTATTGTTGTGATTTTATCGCAATTTACTGTAATAAATTTGTTGCGGAACTTACTAGCTACTGTATGACACATAGTATGTGGTTAAATTATTTAGCTTGTATTGGTATTATTACGATTTCTATCATGATTTACTTGTAAAAAAATTCAGTTACAGAACTTACGTGCTATTGCGATGACACGGTATGTGGTTAAGGTTATCGTGATTTACTGAAAAAATTCTGTTACAGAACTTACCGACTATTGCGGTGACACACAGCATGTGGTTAAGATTATGTTAGGTTGTATTGATGTTACCATCTTAAAAATTCTTTACAAAACTTACAGACTATTGCGGTGACACGTGTGATTGAATTATTACTTAACTGTAATTTAAAGCACAAATTTACAAACATTCATTCAGTGTTGAAAATCTAAATTGATTTTAATGTTCTCAATGAGAACTATTTAAAAATGTCAAAAAAAATTTTTTTATCGTTTACTCAAATAATATTCTCACAGATTATTAAATATAAGAGAATATTTTTTAAGCAAGAATGTTCTCATGAGAATATGGGACATAAGATTTCCAACACTGCACTCATTATACATACAAGATTTCAATTAATTCACGGGCCTTCGTTGCCCATGTATCTTCGGGTTCAATTTCTAATAATTTCTCCAAGTCAGCAATTGATTCATTATACCTTTTCATTATATAATTAATTTCTCCTAGATATTTTAGTGTTGTTATATTATCTGGTTCAATTTCTAATAATTTAGTAAAATCTTTATACGCATCTTCATATTTGCCCATAATAAAAAATAGCTTTCCTCGATAGCTTAATTCAAATGCATTATTTTGGTCGTTTTTCAATGATTTTGTCAATTCATCTGTTAAATTAGTAAGCATGTTTTCATATCCGCCCATAATAAGATAAACCTTTCCTTGATATTTTAATTCTAATGGATTATTTGATTTTTCGCTAATGTCTTCGTTGGTCATTGCTATTAATTGAAGTAAATATATATTCATGATTAAATTTTAAATATGCGATTAAACCTTTTTGACAAATTTACCAGAATATTTGAAAGCTTCACGACCGAAATTCACTTCTACAGACGCGCCCTGCGATCTAAATCCAACACAAGGACATAGAATGCCTTTCCAATTGTCAGGCAGGTAGTGCGCAATTCCTTAAAATATGTTATAAATATTTGATTTTTTATAAAGTATAAAACTTTAATTCTAAAGCGTTAATTACCCAAGTTGACTCCATTTTTAGTATAAAATACCGTCTTATTTATGAAATTTAAATAGCATCCAATAATATCGCCGGTAGTATATACTGGTCCATACGCCTCGCCACTTCCAGAGCAAAAAGAATATCCATCGTCACCATGGTAACCACACCCCCATGAATATTCTTGCCCTAAGGGATATTATGATATTGATGTTAACATATAATAATAAAATAACATAAAAACTGCTATTACCAGGCATAAGCATATCATTTATATAATCTGGCTTTCTATCTGAATCTTCTATTTCTTTATCGTTTTGCTTTGTACAATATCCGACTCCAATCATTCTATTTAAAATAGCATATAAATAAAAAAAATAAAAGGACAAAGATGTGTTATGACATGACATGAAATAAATGACATACCCATTATTTCCTTGATTTATAATTTTAATTTCAAAGTAAAATATTCCACACCGTGAAGGAACTGGATGATTTGCCCAAATGATAACAGCTTTATTATCATCATGACCTTTAATCGTTTTTAAAAAAAAAAATAAATTAGCAAGCTCTCTATTTAAATTATATGTGGTTGACATTCATTAAATGAAATGTAAATTTAATCTAATATGTTTCTGTGAGATTTTTCATTTTCATCATACAGTACCAGTATAATTCACTCTCAACCCACTTGAATCCATGTTAATGGATAATGAATTATTTTCAATATCCCATGCAGTCGGTAAAACAGTTTCATTGCATGAAGTTATTAACTTTAAATCTTCCATTGAGTAAAATTCTTTTTCAGGTCATTTGTTTAGACGATTCCCAACAGAAATCATGTAAAAAGCGTAAACCTTTTTATCGGGTACAATGCACTATTTAATATTGTATCTGTGTACAGTAGTACATCAGCCCATTTTTAGTGTTAGCCAAATACGTATTATAGAAATTTATCAATATATGTAAAAACTTTAAATGCCAAGAAAAAAAAATAATAATTTATGCAAGCTTATCATAAAAGTACGGTATCATATTAATTTAAAATCTTTTGACATCAATAAATAATTGTAAAAAAATATTATTATTTGCAATTTCTAGTTTTCTCAAAAAAAGTCATTATCGTGTTTTTTTTATCGGCCAAACCACATATCCTGAATCCTATTATTCGGTTACTTCACCTTATATTATTATCGCTTTTCATCATTTATAATGCTGCACCTCTTAACTTGAATCTATATTATTTATGTCCAAATCGAGATCCATAAGTCTGTGCCCCGCGAAAGATTGTTTTTTCGTTCTATAGTTACACCCACTGACATGGTAGATTTGGTCGACACGTGTTTAATAACACGGGATCAGGATCGGGTTCGTGTAACTTACGCGTTGCATGATCGACCATCACGTAATATAAATAGAACAATGGTCTTTAGTAATTAGTTAGTGAAGATTAGAGAGACGAATAAAACAGTCTTCAATAATAAAGAAACGTCTAAACAATAAACTTTGTTCTTAGTGAATAAACTGTATCTTAGTGATATTGCATTGGTGGTGGTAGTATCTGGTACGATACTCCAGTCATCGCGCAATTAGCCAAGCGAGTGAAGTTTGGTAGTAAAGACCCGCAAATACACGGTAGTTTAGGTAACTCCGTGGCACCCACAAATAACAAAACTATTTAGCAGTAAGTATTAATATTCGAATTGTATTTATTTCTAAGCAGAAGTTATGTAAGTAAGTATATAATTACAGATCTTGGTTCCAAGAGCATTAATTCATTTTAGATATATGTAATTACAAATTTGTATTATCAGATTACAAGGTTCATAACTTTTTTCAATATGAATAACATTGTCAAATAAATGCCTTTTCAAAAATATTCATTAATCTAAAAAACAACCATGATCTATTTTCATGCGTTGTGTTCGGTGTAGAATATATCATACTTTATTTTGGTGCAGATCAATTCCTCTTCATTAAGAACATCTTTAAACACTGAAGAATAAGAATTATTAATACTATTAGAGCTAATCATTATTTAAGTACATAACTTATATAACATCTATTAGAATTTAATCGGATGATGGAATCATAAATTGGCTTAAGAATAAGGATATAGATCTTATGATCTATTTGATTGCAAAAATGAAAGATGTGATCCAAGCAATTGGATTTTTTTTACGAACATATTAAAAATTTTAAAATTATGAATCATTAATAAATTTATTAGCAAAGGTTCCTCTTTGAAACTCTATAATAATCGACTTGGATTAAAAGAAGGAACGGTACTAGCGGAGATTTTGGTAAAAATATAAAAATATTACTACAATTTTCTAGCAATTCGTATAGATTAACTAGGTTCCGAAGATGGAAAAGCATTAGCAAAGCGTTCTTTTTAAAACAAAATGCTAACCACATTAGATCTTGAAAATAATATGCTTTGTCAAGAAAATAAGAAATGAATTATCAAAGCTCTTTATATAAAAATACTACCTTACTTTTTGTTACCTATCTTGGTGCTAAGGAGGAATGCATTAGCAAGATCCCTTAATAAAAACACTAGCCTGACTCATTTAATTAATCATAATAATCAACTTGTCTACGAAGAAGAAAATGCACTTGCAGAAGCTTTTTGCGAGAATTCTATTCTGATTATTTTAATTATTCTTAGGTGAAAAGGCGTTAACAAAAGTTCTTTGTAAAGATACCACCATATTTATCCGCCATGTAGACCTCCCGTGCAATGTACTCTGTAACGATTTTGACAGCCAATTTTTGACTTATACCCGGGTATCTAAGTATGATATTATCATGCTTCTATACCCGGGGAAACATAATAAAACATATTCATATCCATACAATATCTACATGTGTACCCCGGGTACTAAAACGAACAAGGGAAATACCCGGGGTACTCGTGGCGGATAAATACGGTACTTTAACATCCTTGGATCTTAGTTATAATAATATTTGTTTTGAATCATTAGCAATTGCTTTCCATAAAATACTACTCTAATCATTAAACCTTGAAAATAATTATTTTAGTACTAAGGGTGGAGAAATATTGGCAAAAGTTCTTTGCAAAAATACTTCGTTAACTTTTTAAATCTTCATGGCAATGAAACTGGGGATATAATTTTAAATTAATTAATAGCTTGCTTATAAAAATAAAATGAGTAAACTTAAAGAATTTTTTAATTATCTCTTCGTCATATAACGCTGCGCAACTTGATGTAATGACAGTATATTCGGCATAATAAACAAAAACTGTTACGTTTTACGTCTATTGTTCTATTTTATTTATTTATTAAATATATATTATATCTTATTTTACGACAGTATGTATGTAAAAACTGGTTCAAACAGGAAGGGTAGAAGAGATTTTCTGAAGCTAACAATAAAAAAATAGAAATTCTTAAATTTTTCTCTCGTAAAATTGGAAAAGCTTACATAATTTCATTTTCATCATTTTCATCGATTTTTTCAGGACACCCAAAATTCCGGGTCAGAATTAACCGGATATTAAATCATGCCACAAGCCATTTATGGCGCTGTGATTTTGTGATGATGATAGCGGAAAATTTCAATTCCCATAATTTTCGATCAATGACATCTATATTTTATTCGGAATCTTTAAAATTCTCTAAGAATCAAAAAATCTACTAGAATCGTTGATTTTACATGACATTATTATTATGATCTGAGAGGTCCCACCTTTTTGCAAACCGCTATAAAAAAATATTGTATGCAATTCCATAGAGAAATTTCTATCATATGATAATATTCATTATTTAAAAAACTCAATTCTTTTTTTGGTGGTGTAACTTCAAAAATTTTTTTGATTGTTCTTGTTGGTAGTTATCTTTCATTGTTTTGTATTAATATAATTCATAGTATTTTCTTCAAGGTTCTTTTACATACCTGATATAATTCACGTTTGCTGATTGAATCTACTTTACTTTTGAAATCTTCTTCATACTTAGCAATAATCACAGATTTCTCCTTCTCATACTCATTAAGAATAGGTTTGTCAAGAATTTTAAGTTCCGCCCCAAATCTAGTTTTCAAAAAACGAATAGATATAAGAGGTTTCGTTCTTTTATTAGGTTCGAAATTGTTTTCATTATTCTTTCTTTTATTTTATTGAATATTTTGAAACAATATATCTATTATTTTGTTTTAGAGACATTTTTTTTTAAAAAAAAAAATAGGTTTAATGACAAAAAAAAATTCGTATGGATAAATTTGGGAGGTTTTTAATGGTTTTGAAAATAGACTATGTACTATCAGCTAATCAATAGACTGTTGTAAAGATAATATGCAATTCTCTACAAGAATTTCCCAGTACTTGCCAGCCCTCAACAGTGTTTTGTGAGAATTTCTAATTCAACTAATTCATATACTGATCATAGCTGTGTTAAGAGATGCAAATTAAATTGTATTATAATTTCATTGAATTTTAAATTATCGAAAGCAGTTGGAATTGTAAGAATACTAAGGTGAATAAAATGTTTTGCTGATGGTTTAAAATTAGTATAAATGAATATTGTTTTTGTGTAAAGTATATTTAAGCCTTCCATCAGGTCATATAAAGATCTCGAGAAAGCAACCCTAAAAGTTCTTGACTTACGTTATCGTAAAAATCCTAAATTCTATCATCAGTATCAGTAGAATGACACTTTTTATATGGTCAAAAACTTGTATCTTTCGATCATTTTTGCTTGTATTTTATCATACTTGCAGTCACAATTCTCGACTCAGAAGTTTCTAACCATCAACAGATTGCTTGAAGATTGTAGGAACTGTTTTAAATATTTTGTCAACAGATTAAATAACACTTGAGACATTCATTAAAATTTTGTTTCTCTTGTAGTAAATATTAAAACTAGCTCCAAAACAATAGCACATCCATTAATTTACTATTCAACATAAGAAAAGTTTTGCGCTCAAGAACAAAAAGAAAGAATATTCATAGTGAAAGAATTATTTAATTGTAGTTTTCTTTATTTTTATATAACATAAAGAAAATCCGTAACTGGTGTCATACGTAGTAAATCATTAGTTTTTACCAGACTTAATCTTTAAAAGATCTGATAGACTGAGTCTGATAAATTATAAATTTATGTGAGCTGCCATCATAATGATAATACAGAACTAAATTTACATGTTTATCTCTAGAATTTAACGTGTTCTATATTAGCTTTTGTAAACATTTACCTGATCTTTAGCTTTTGTCTTAGGGATCTCGAATATTCAGGATTTTAAGTCTGGGATCTTTCTTGAATAACAGGATCTTAATTGTCAAGATGATGAACTTGAACCAACGAGATCATATCTCTTTATTCAGTATCATGGATATCAAGATTATAGACAGTCTGAATTATGAATGAAATATCGTGACATAGCAAATACATACATCATTTACATGAAAAAACTGATATTAGAACGGTAGGATACTATCTAATGCCTAAAAGCTTTACGCTCAAAATTCCGTGTCTCCCCATTAAAGTTAAAATATTATTTGTCATGTTTGTTGCATAATTGTAATTGATATTTAAAATGCAAAACTGTTTAATTTTGTTTAAAGAAAATTTATTAAAACTAGAGTTAATTGGTTTTATATTTTCTTAACATTTATTATAAAACGCACCTATTATGTTTTTAGATTTTTTTTTCTAAGTTTTGAATATAAAAATTTTCAACCCAATTTTCATGTTAATGTTAGTATTTAAGGTGAGGAGTAGGTTTGGAAGAGGTTTTTAGGGGCGTGGAGCATTTTTACTTAGGACATCTTGCGCTGATCAATTAGCCAGCTTTTAAGATAATATATACATAGGTGTAAAAACACCATAGCTGCGTTTCAGTAAAAGTCTTTTCTTAATTATGATTTGGACTGCAGATTTATTAGAGAGTTCTGTCAGATTTTAATGCAGTAACCTATTTTATAATCGAGTCACAATGATTTATATATAATATTCAACACTATTTGTTAATGATCGTGATTGTGCATAAACTTATCCCTTAGATCGCAATTTTGTGTTCGATACACTTTTCTGGTTGATCTCATAAAACATAATGTGCAAGAGTATGTATATGATATTATATATTATATAATAAGACAAAATCACTTGCAAATGCCATTTCGAATGGCGCATAATATCCACATCTTAAATTCTTTTTGGTTTATGATGAAAAGTCATAATTTACAAAATATGCCTATACAATTTAAAGGTTAGAGGTAAACATAAATAGTTATACGGTTAAACCTTCCAAAACAAGTTTTGTATCAGTTTTGAAAGGTTATCATATCAAATATATGACATAATTTGATAATATAAATGCAACCCGAAAATGTGTACCAGGTTGCGCTCCGGATGATCATGTGATAGTCCGGAATGATAGTCCGGAATGAATGTC